ATCTCTCTCTCTCTCTCTCTCTCTCTCTCTCTCTCTCTCTCTCTCTCTCTCTCCACCCCCTCTGTGTGTGTGTGTGTGTGTGTTATCTAGTTTTACAACTTAAAATTACATTTAGAACCTGGAAGAAATTATGTTATTTTTAGGCATAAGAATTTGGACAGTTCTGCTCTGGTTCATCCCCATCATGCTTGGAGGAAGGAGACTGCTGAGTGACCAGGCTTGGCTGGGTCCTGTTTGGTGTCTGCCTCCTGGCTACAGCCAAATCTCCCATTGTGGAGAGTTCATGCCTCCGGTCTCTGTCACCAGGTGCCTGCTTTGTGCACCTGCATGGAGACCACCACATGTCACATCACTCTGTGAAGAATGGCTTCTCTTGAGCCCACCCTTTTCCAATCTTAACTTTATTTCTACAGCGCATTTTCAGATTTTTTTTTTCTTTTCTGTGCCTCAGTGGGTAGACTGGTGAGTTTCCAGGATTCCTGAGAAAGGTGTCAGCCACCATCTGTTCAGCTGCTTTTCAACTTGGGAACATGAGAAGTGAGCTTGACATGGGTGTGAGATTGTGGCGGGTTCTCAGGCACCAGGAAGTTGTTCACACCCTCTGCAGGATCTGACTGAAGCAGCGGTGGAGTTCCAAGGCAGAGCCTAGCTGCTCACCAACCTCCCCCTTTGACCAACCAAAGCTGCATAGGGGTCTCCTGAAGGGACTGAAACCCAGTGTTTTGAGTCTGCAATGGTGGACTCTCAGGGACTTTCCTTGGCTTGAGTTGGCCCCATCTCACACATTCTCTCTCCCCTTTCCACAGGACTCCTCAGAATAAAACCGAGAGCTCCTGTGTTTTTATGAAACACTCTAGCACCAAAGAGTTACCCTAATGGACAGTGCTGGAGAGAGGAGAGGCTTGTAGGTGTTGTGGGACCTGGTGTACACCGATATCAGGCAGCTTGTGGCTCTCCGAGTGGACACAGTATGGAAACTGATACAGTCTAGTGGTAGTACAGGTATATAAGAAAATTGGCATAAAATGTGTTTAAAGCTCTGCAGGAGTTGCAGTGACAGATATGACAGATATAAAGGATAGGTGTGTGTACTTATGTGTGTATATGTATGTGCTCATTACCTAAATGTATTCTATATGATCATGAAATTCTGCTTTGGACCCTGCTTTTTCATGGATTCTAGATCTTAGGCTTCTATCAAGATCCATATATCTGCCCTTGAGAACCTGTCAGTCAGCACTGACAGGTGGCTAGCCACCCACTTACTCCAGGAATGCAAGGCACTTCTGAAGCCCCCCCTTTTTTTCAGTTTGTCCCGGGGCTAAGCACCACTTGCCCTCTGCTGCTGCTTAAGACTGGACTTTGGATGTGCGGCCTCCTCTTCCTGTCTCGCTTCCCACTGTCCTGTTAATTTCCTTTCACCTCCCAAAGAAGCCTGGCTGGCCTGCTTCCATGGGAGCCAAACCATGATGTGTGCATATGTGTGCATGAGTTGTTTGTTTGTGTGTGTGTGCACATGTCAGAATTGTGTGCAATGATTTGTGACTCTTTAATTACCCAAGTAAAAGACAGCCCATGCAGGAGAAAGTGTGTCATGCTTGAGAATTGTAATTAATCCAATTCTATGTGCCTGAGGTCTGTTTTCAAAAGCTTTTAAAGTACAGACTCTGGAGCCAGACTGGTGGGTTTGCCCATTCCCTAGCAAGCTGCTTATCCTCAGTTTCTTCATCTATAAAATGGGAGTACTAAGCTCATCCAACTTCTGTGTGCACCCCAGGAGCCAGTCAATGGAAAGCTGTCAGGACAATGTCTGCAGTAAGGATTAGCTGCTGCCACTACTGTTGCTAAGCAGCCTCATTTAAGGCCAGGCTCACCAAGACACAGGGAAAGAGAAAGCAGTAGTAAAAAGTTTTACTGAGACTCTTTGAACTAAGAGTCAACTTTTGCATGACTAAGAAGGCCCAGAGACACTGAGCAGAGCTAATGACTCCTCACCATCTGACACTCACACTATTCGGGGTCTGCCTAGAGCTTCTTAGGTCTTTTAGATTCACAGATTCCTGGTTGTCAGGAAAACGCATAGTCAGCACCCACTTTAGGACGCTGGCGCTGGCTACTGAATCCAGACACATAGGTAGGCAGTGACTTAACATAATGAACTCTATAGTGCAGCATGTTCCTTTGGCATGAGAAAACCTCTCCATAGCTCTATCTGGAGTCACAGCCACAGTACGAACACAGGCAATGACTTCATGCTGAGTCTCATGGGCAGGAGAACACAGGGGCT